TTGTTGTAGTTGCTTAAAGCTTGGTTTTTGAAACTCAATTTAAAATTTCGGGGACGAAATTCTTTAAGGGGGGGAGGTTATAGTGTTTTTGGTTTAGACCCGACCCATTTTATATTTTGGCTCGGGTTTCATAGCCTCGTATGGTTGTTCATGTCTTTTTCCCTTATTCTTACTTGAGTTTGGCTATTGGGTTGTATCAAGTATGTTTGGAACAAGTTGGTTGCTTAGTTTTCAAACTTTTGTTGCCCAGGATTTTGGTTCTCCGCTCTAGCGACACTTCTTGCGCTCGAGCAGGATTTGCAAACTCTCAGTACTTTTGCAGGATTTGGTGTCTACAAAACTACTAAATGTGTGTATTCTGCGCTCGAGCGGAACAACTTATTGTGTCTGACGCTTAAGCGTCAACTCTTACACTCGAGGGAAATGTGCGTATATTAGTTTGCGAAAATGACTTTTTATATCACTTTTTCAAATTTATTTCTCTCCAAACCCTAAAGTTGAGACCCTCTCTCTCTAAAACCTACTTTCTCTATACTTTTTCATTTAGATCTAGTGATTTCTCCACCCTTGTGTCTTTGTTAAAAAGGTAAAGCACGTCAAGAGCTACGTTTTGATCCGAATCAATTTTGGTTTTGGCGTCTTTGGAGTTTCTCCACTTCTCCATCGGTCTTCTAAACTATTTAATGATGTGTAAACTAGATTGATGTTTGGAAGGATTTTGAACAAACCTAGGGTTTTGGTTTAAAATCAAAAGAAGGGTTTTGAAACGAGGGTTGAAAATGGTTATGGATGTAGATACGAGAATGTTTTGTGTTGAGATTGTTGGTTTTGACACATGGGTTGGATTGGGAAGAAAATGGAGTTTGCCCTAGAATGTTTCAAATAATTATTTTGTATAAATAATGAAATTGGTATGGGGAATATGAAATTGTATAGATATGTATGCGAATGGTGGAGTAGGATATTTGTTATCTTTCATCTATGGAAATTTGGATAGTTTATCTGTTATAGAGATTGTATATCTGTTTAGAAATATCTGATTTGGGCTATCGGTGGAGGATAGTTATGGTTGTTGTAGAAATTGCATGAGGATTAGATGGATTGAAACTAATTTCTTATTGGTTATCATTGAATATAACTGTATTTTAATACATTGTATATGTATAATGTTTGGGAAGAAAAAGAGAATGTACTCCATGTTTGGGAGAAGAAAGGAGATGGACTCCATTAAACTAAGTTGGCTTGTGCATCCAGGGTGAAAGTCCCAAAAACATGATGTATACATGGGTGTCGACTCCCACAGATAAAATTTCCGTTAATTGGCAAATATAAGTGTCTGTGTGATGACTATATTGAATTGAGAACCTTTGAGTTGTATTCTCAGTTTAATTATTTGTAATAGATACAAGTAACCAATGAATTGAGATAAAATGAGTTGTGATATAAAACTTGGCATAGCATAGTTTGCAAAAGAGTGGTAAATAATTTTGTTATCGGTATTGTATATACACATTATATTTATATCTTTGTTAAGATTTATATATTATGTTAAATTGTTTCTACTAGGTTTTGGTTCACTCTATTTGGAAAAGGCTATTTTTAAGTGTTGGAGATATGCTTCCACCAAGACAGTAGTTTGGGGAGACTTGGAGCAAGAGCTTCTTTTTTATTGTATTTATTTTGTATAGCCAAGGGCTTAATTGTATTGTGTTAGACTTATTTTGTTATAACCAAGCAGTGACTTGGAAAGATGTAAGCCACCAAGGCATATGACTAATTATATAGCTTTCTTTTGTTATCATCTCAAAAATGTATGTTAAACTTTGAAGAATGAAAGTATGTTGTTTCACTTATACTACTGGTTATGAGATGGGTTGATTATATTTATTTTTGGGGCATTACATCTTTTGTTTTCTGGAGTTTAGGGTCGATATTAGTTTATTTATTTATTTATTTATGTTATGACTTTAGTATTTTGATAGTTTGGCATTGTGTGTTATTTTCTAACTTTACATTATTTAAGTTGTTTTGACTATTTGTTGCTACTTTAATGTTGAAGGTATTGGATAGTCATGAATTTATGATAGATGGTTTGATTGACGTTTGTTAATTCTTTTTTATCCCTTGTATTTTTTTTTAAGCATTGAAATTTACTTAAACCAGATTGGGACGAAAACATTTAGATTTCTGTTTCATCTCTAGGATTTGGATGATGGTGATTGGGGTTTAGTTCTAATTTAATATTTAATTGTCCATATTTTGGTGTGTGACACAAACCAAATTTGATAAGGCAACATCTGCAGAGTAGATTGGGATAAAGACAGAGGCAGAAGACCAACAATTCTGAAATGGTGAAGCAAATTTGATTTTGGCGGGACAAAGAAGCGAAAGCCAAATAATGAAGCAAGGGTCTATCATTCTTTATCTTTCATGCCATCCTTATTTACCATCTACACCACAAGTTTGCTGTGTTTTCATCTTCTACGATTAGAGTTCATTAGGTATTCTTTCTCTCTTTCTCACTCTCATCAAACACACGCAATACCTCAATCTTTGTCACTTATTTATGATTTTCTTGTTTTAGGCATAAAACTTGATATAATTTAGAAAATCTAATCTTTTAACACATGAATTTATTAATTTTCATCTTTTCATGTAAAATGTTAGTTGTGATTTACTATTATTGTATTGATATTGTGATTTTATATAATGTCTTGCAAATGTTTGTTTAAATGCTTCAGCGAGATTTTGCATTATTTTGCTCTGTTTTTATTTTTATTTTTTATTTTTACCCTTTTTCTGTTTGTAAGGATGAATAAGATAACAAAATAATACTAATCTCTTTTCACACCATCACTTCAAGAAAGATTCTAAAGCCCCAATTTTTATTTTTTTTTGGGCATTCCTAGACATGGTATTTCTAAAAGTCCCAATTAAGTGATTAAATCCTATGGCTTGCTTATTTACTAGAGAAATGCATATCACTTTTAGTTGTGATCATCTTCACTCTGGCACTTTGTACTACTTTATTTTTTAAATATTATTTATTAATTGTAAATATATAATTACTTAAGTAGTTAAATATTGATTTACAAGTGGGAGATATACTTGTTCTAAAAAGTATCATTAGGCCAATAGAAATAGTTGCAATCGGAGTACTTAAAAGTACAGACCCATCTAAAGATATAGAAGGGAAAGAACTAGGACCTGACTATTGGGAAGTACATGTTCAAGTGTCACTCAAACCTAATGAGAGTTTGATCTGATTATATGGACTTGTCAAAACAATTGGACAAGCTATTGGAGCTCATGTTGCTTGCCCTGCTCCATTTGTGGTATATTTCTTTCGTAAATATTAATTTCATTAACAAATTTATATTAACTTAATATAGTTTTAATTACCTTTATATGTTTATATTTTGGATACAGATTTCGCAAGTTGTGGATGCTAGCTAAGAATATTTATAGAAGTGAGGTTGAGAATTTGATAATTGAATTTGTTTTGATAATTTGTCTCTCCAGAAAATGGATATCACTGTGGCTTTTCAGAACTTATTGTTGGAATAATTTTCTATTAAATTGTTTTTGTTTTAACTTTGTTAGTGTGGTAGAATATTTTATAATTTTGATTATGATTTGCATTGCAATATAAATAAATTTATATTTTTAGATAAAAAAATGATTGTGGTTTGAATTTTTTTATTTTGTTTTTTTTTTTATTTTGTTTTTGATGTGATGATCTTATGGTGGTAATATTTGTTTATTATTATGAAAATATTATAGGATGAATGGATGTCAAATTAATATAGGATGTGGCAATTAATATTCAATTTTTTATAAAATAGATTCAATTTTTACAGGTATTTACGCATGTTTCGTTGTGACTTTTAAAAGTGTCAATGAAAAGAATATATATGTGGCATTTCGTAGTAGTGATAGTAGCTTTGCAAAGTGTCACTAGAATAAACTCCAATAGCACTTATATCCGTTTAATGACACAAATGAATTGGATTTAGTGATATTTATGAAATTATTAAAAATATCAATTGTGGCACAACAAGCGCCATTAAAAATCCATATAGTGACATTTTTTAAATTGTAAGTCTTTTTTAATAACACTTGATAGCGCCATGAATAGTGTCTACTATGACATTAAAGTATTATTAAAAGTCTTTAGCCTTGATGATGTAAAGACACTTACAAATGTCACTGAAGTGCTACTAAATATTTTTTTAATGGCGCTTGATAGTGTCACAAATAGTGTCTATCATGATATCAAAGTGTCATTGAAAGTCTTTAGTCATGATAGTGTAATGACACTTGCAAATGTCAATGAGGTGTCACTAGTATTTACTGTGGCACAGATATAAATGACACTTGTTTAAAATATTACAAGACTAAAAAATGTCATTAAAAGAATAATTTTATGGCACTTTCAAATGTCACTAAATTAAGAAAATGTTGTAGTAAAAAAAAAAACTGACATAAAATGCTAAAAGCTAAAATAATACAAAACACATATTTTAATAATCAAAAGTATAATCAACCCCTCTTGTTAAGAAGTACACATATTTCTAATGTTTAATATTGTGACATCGGCCAAAAGACAACTTTAACACAATATTTTAGAGATTTAACACAATCAAAATCTTAGAGTTCAAAAGGATACAATATGTATATTTTAAAAATCAAAAGTGTAATTAACCCTGATTTCATGTTTTGGAGATACTGGTAGGATAACTAATTTCATGATCCTATTTTATTCTAATTATTTTGTCAGAAGGTAAAGAAAATTATTTCAAAAAAAAATATAACTATTGTGTAAATTTTTTTAATTTTTCTCAAAATTAGGCAAGGTTATATGGTAATTGCTTCACATCATTCACTTTGTAACACTAACATAAAAGTGATTGGTCACAAATTAGGATACCACAAGAATTTGTCCCATCGTCATAGTATAATTATTTTTTAAAAAAATTAAAAATATTGAGAAATTAATATGTATCTGAAAATGTATTAATCTGGACTAATCAAATTGCGAGTCAAACATATGTATATGGTTTGGTAGTGGCGTGATGCTTTTTCACTTCCTACTTTTCTATTTCTAATGGGAACCAACGTATGAGACCAGCAAAGCCAAGCCAAGCCAAGCCAATCATTCCCGTGACTAACGCTTATCAGATTGATTGACCCAAAGTCTTCTTCGCTTATTAGTACACCTGGAAACACTCTGGCACTTTGTACTACTTTATTTTTTAAATATTATTTAAAAAAAAAAAAAAACAGATAATGATAAAGATATTAAAGTTTTTATCAAATAAATGATCAAATATGGGTATGATATCTACAAAAGTATAGACTTCAAACTCACGTGACATATTTTATTATTTATTTAGTAGAAAATTTGAGACATATAATATTTTCTAAAAAAGTCTCCCTAGTTTGTTTGCTAATATTTAATTATATGTATTAATTAGTATAATAAAAAATGACGTGACATAATTTTACAGATTATAAATCTTTATAATTTCTATAATTAGTGGATTTTATAATTTTGAAGTAGGAATATCTTAACATATGTTGATACACTAATTAATATACCAATTAATACATATAACACCGCGGTTAATTATTTAATTAATTTAGCCTGTTGATCTCCTTGTATACCTTTAGACTTAATTAATTTAATCCTTTAATTCAGTCAATTTAGTCTGTTAATATCCTTGTATTATACACTTAGACCTCATCAAATTTTGCCAATTTCTTTTAAAATTGGTATCCGGCTCACTAGATGGATTAATCCGAAAAATTAATCCCACTGTTCACTAGTGGGAATCTCAGCAAAGCATTAGACCTTATCAAATTTGGCTGACTACCACCGTCCACTAGCAGAGATCTCAATTAAAGCCCGAGTAAAACTCCATATGAATTTGCCTCAAGAAATTATTTACACTTAATCTTGACCACCATACTAGTCCTTTACGATTTCCCCTCCCCCACCCCCTTTGTTTTTTTTTTCTTTTGAACAAGAAAAAATAAAACTTTGAGATGTCATCACTACATCTATGGGTCCAAGTTCCGGAATAACCGGTTGTCGACCTAATTTAACCCAATTCATAAGAAGAGATTACTACCAAGACAGCAATAGAACTCAATCACATGCGCTACAAGAGATCAGGTATCGATTTGAGTACAGTGCAAGATTCCACAAAAAAAAACTAGCTGAATAATCCAATATATTCATGAATTGCCTGCACCATCAGGCCACCACCACCGAGCACAATTGGATTCAATAACTCATAATAAATAATTATGATTTTGGTTGGATAATTCTATGAGCCTTTTATTCTGTATATGCAGAATTCAGAGGTGGTGGAAGAACTTATTTTATGATAATATTTTTGTCATAAAATTCTAAAAATGACATTCTGGATAATGCAAATTAATTTATCCTATTTAATCATGTCTGGTTAATGTATAGTGCCACAAAATGTCCATGATTTAAAAAAAAAAAAAAAATTACAAGTGAATTTGATAATTATAAATGTTGAATAATGGATTTTTGTAAATTAAAAATAAATATAAAAAAAAAAGAAGAGAAAAATGTACCTATAAATCCCAAGAAGAAGGGTTCAGGATATAATCTCTAAGTCTATCTGTTGTATGTGGTACAGCCGCCACCAATGTATGGACCACAGCAATTGTAGCTTCAAGTGGGCCATCTTCAAGAAAAACATCCATTTGAACACGTATTTTATCAACGATCTAAAGAGTGTGAAATTGGATCAGCAAGACGCATCCAAGCTGCTATATTGAAAACGTCAATATCAAATTAACATCCAAAAATATATTCCATGTCATTTTTAAAATTCTGTGCCACAGCTCCAAACCCGTCAATGCTTGCACACTTTACATTCAAGCTTTGGTCAGAGCCCAGAGTGACAAGAGCAGGCAACACATGAGTTGAGGCCACTTTAGCATCAATATTTGGTACCTATTAAGGGAAAGATATCTGAGATTTAATAACACACATGGTAGAAGTAGTCAGAGATGACAACTCCAGGAGAATGAATGCACTTACACTAACTTTCAACAGATTGGTAGCACTGATTTGCATATTTATGTAGGAGCTTATAAGTTACAACCATTTCCCATAAGAGATTAAAAATCATATTATGATGTTCTTCAAATGTACTGCGTTATGTAAAACGTACCAGTAAAATAATGAATTTCAGACCAACCATAAGATCAATATACTGAAACTTTTTTCTCAAAATACGAACCAGAGGAAGCGGACAGAGTTAACAATCTCAGCATGGAGCCTAGTTGGCTGACCCTCCTCCACACGCCCCCTGGCCAGACATCAGAACCTATCAGAAGCATATGGCAGTAGCTAGATTTTTGAAAGCTATCACAATATTATGCAAAATAAAATGTTCTGTCCCACATGGAAGTGGACAAGATTTGTGAAAAAGTTGGGTCATGCAGAGATTACCCTATATACTGTTTAAGACAGGAGGTAGAAAACAGTGTTCCTGAATTTTCTGAAATGTTCGGAAATGGACATGTCTCAATCGCTTTCTCATGCACAAATGGAAGCGTTTCTGCCAGCAACTGTAGTAAGACATCAACATTTCCGAACATTTCCTGAGCAATGAACATACTCGTTAGCCGCACAAAAAATTCAATTTTTAGTATTCCTGTTTTTCTCAACACCCCTTGGCATGTTTGATTGTCTCACTGGGATGGAAAGTGGAGAAAATATGGAAGATCCACCGAATTATTAGTTTGATAATTGATTGCGGGACAAGGAGAAAATGATTGAAGGTGGAGAACATGTGAGTCCCATTAAATAGTTTAATTCAGTGTTTATTTTAGTGGTACCAAATTCTGGATAGTTCTAGTACTGGTATGGAAGATTATATTAAAAAAAATGGATAGAAATAAGAGTTTTGATTTTCTCATGTTCAAATTTTAACTTGAGAGAACTTATAGGGTTTGTAAAGCCCACCACGACTTTCGTTCTGATAATTTAAACCATTCATTTTGAAGGTCCCGTATATGTCATCTATCAAAAAAATTAAATCAGTCCAATAATCGTAACAATTTCATTTATTGTATTTATCTTTAAGAAAATTGATGGTTTATTTTAAAACATACACGCCATGTTTGGTTTGTTTTTTAGAAAATAAAAAAAAATTAGATTTTTTTTTGTAAAAATGAAAACTAATTTGATAAAGATAAATATCAAAAAAATATTTTTAAAATTTTAAAAATTATTTTTGAGCTCCCAAAAAATAAAATTATATAAAAATGATAAGTATTTTTTTGCTTTTTTTCTATATCTTTCCCCAAATTAATTTTAAATTTTTTAGAATTATTTTCTAAAATAAATTTCTGAAAATCAAACCAAACATGGCCACAAATTTTTTTTTTTTTTTTGAAAAACACGATTGTTACGATTATCGGATTGATTTAATTTTTTTTCATGGATGATATAGATGAGGTGTAGACACTTAAATTTTCACGCGTCTTGATCACCGTCTGATTAATCAAGGAAAATAAATTTTCTTTGATTGCTCAAAATTTTCAGATGGATATGGGTCCTACTAAAATTACGGATCTTAACTTATTTTAAATTATGGGTCACACTAAAAGAAAAGTGAACTTATTTTGACAAATGGGTCAACTTAAAAGTGTGGGGCCCATGAAGATATTTTGTCAAAACAGTTCCGATTGATAGCTCGAAAAGAAGACGGCTCGAATGGCCCAAGTTCAAAACGACGTCGTTTTGGATTTTTTTTTTGTTTCTCTTTTCTCTTTGAAGATGAGGAACACAGAGAGAGAAGAGGAAGCTGGGGAACACATCATCTTCATCAAGAACAACACCTTCATCAACACATCATCTTCATCAACGTCATCTTCATAAATGACAACACCTTCATCAACACATCATCATCATCAACAACATCTTCATCAACATCATCATCATCAATACATCATCATCATAAACAACAACATGTTCACCAACATCATCATCATCATCAAACACATCATCATCATTATAGCTCGGCTTTTTTGCCCCCCCTTTCGGAAACTCGAAAGATGCCCTACAATTCGGATTCCCGCAGTTCTGAATCTAATCTCACAAGTGCAATGTGAAACTGATAATCACCAAAGAGTCCAAATCCGGCAAATCGTTTTAGAAGATAGATTTTGAATCAAAAGTGTCAAAATTGGACTGCTTTGCCAGATACAGAGTCGTTACCTAAATATTTTATTTTGAAGAAGTTTAGGAAACCCATGACTCATGCTAAAGGCCACGTGTTTGTCATCACCAAAGTTGTCTCAGCTCGGGAACTTAGGTATGAGAGGGGAAGGTCATGAATTCAGCACCCCCGCTTGCTCGGTCAAAGATCGGCTTCTACTAATCATGATATGATCTTTTATAAACATTATGTGTTCTTGTTCCGATTATTAAACTAGCTTTACTATGTGATGTGCACAAGCAAGTATAGCCTAGTTTGCTCAATTTGGAACAATTCAACTCATGTTTGTTTGTGAAAATGGTTTGAATTTGCCACCTTAAGTGGACTTAAAGTTTGCGGATTTGCCACCAAATATAGTGGGCTTAAAACATGATTTGCCACTTAACAAAGTGGGCTTAAAACTTACATTCATTGAATTGTTCCAATTCAAACAACAAGCCTTCATCCACTGGCATTCATACAGTTTAGCATTTAAGCACATAGCCTCATGACAAGCATGCTAAACATGGCAACATTCACATTCATGCAAGTATGTTAAAGCATAAAAACTCACCTAGCACTCTAAGCCAAGAAAATATGAGTTAGAAAAATATGCATGATTCCTAACTATGTCAAATGTCTAATGCAACACATGCGAAATGGAATTAATAGGTTTGGCTACTAATATGGCATGTGAAACAATTTGAGAACATGTGGTTAAACACGTATTCAAAGAATTATTTGAAATTGCAATGCAGTTTGAATGATGTGCCGAGCCTCGGTGCATGCAATACGAATGAATGGATGCAAGCATAAGGTATGCTAATCGAAACATGATGCTAGTCTAACCATCAAAAATGGGTAAATAAAAGGGAGAAAGATGTGGGGTTGGAAGATATACATACACGCACACACACTTATTACAACATTACGCTCTCGCGGAGGGTCCGAATGAATAAAAGCTAACTAGCTAGCCAAACTAAGTTTATTAGGCTAATTATTACAAAACTTAAATTAATTAACTAAACTAGTTTAACTAATTATTACAACACAAATGAATTAGCTACAACTAACTAATTAAATAATTACAACACAAACTAATTGGATTACAACATAGGCTAATCATAGGCTAATTAAATTAAACTAATTAACAAGATAGCTCGTCGCGGGATGCGAGGGAGGCCCATGCATGCTTGGTTTCCACCTGAAGAACATCCTCTGTTTGCCCCCGAATGCTTCTGTTTGCACAACCATTGCACTGTTTCCTTCTCCAGATCAACTCTGCCATGCTTCACAAGCACACTACTCAAAATTCATTGGTGGCCAGAAGTGGTGGCCAGCCGGCCACCATTGAGGGGTTATCGTCCATCACTGGTGGCCGACAGGCCACTGATGATACACTATTTTTTGCTGCAACAGAGAGCACATAGGGCAAAGAAAGGGTATTCTTACAGATTGTTTGTACTGTGTATCACCCCTTATCATCAACACAAGCTCAAATGAGTGATACATTTGGCTCTCAAACCATCAATCAAGCAATTTCCATACATGATGGTTAAGGGACCAATTTGTACAAGTTCAATGAATGCAAAAAAAAAAAGACTCAAATGCCATCACCCTATCATGCATGATCAAGGGCAACGGAGACCTACGAAAGTGGCACATTTTATTACTTTTGAGTATGAAATGCCCCATTTTCCTTGTGTTCAAATTAACGTCCGATTTGAACACATACAATGCAACACAAAGGAATGCTTATCTTGTTACTTTTACTTGCCAATTTTGTTTACACATTTTAGTTACCAAATCATTCTTTAATCAATTTGTCCATTGGTGAGTGTCCTCTAAGATGAAAGAAGTGTCAACCAAGGGATAATGTAATGCAAGAGAGAGATCATGTCATTGATAATGAACCCTCAAAGAGGATTAAACCATTATGCATGACCTCAATCTCAAGCTTAAACAATTCCAAGCTTGAAACAACCTTCAAAAGCAAATGAAAGAATGAAGCAAAGAGGGAGGTTGCAGAGTTTATAGTGCTGAAATGGAATGAAAAACAACACCAAATGATGCTATCAACTCAAACAAGAGGTGTCTAAGACCCTAAAACACCAACTTGTGAGGACTATTGCACTACAACCATGCAAAACAAGAATCAAATGAACTAACCAACCCAAAAAAGAGCTAAAATAGGCTATTTTAGAGGCTAAAACAAGATGGATTTGAGCTAAGTTAAGCTAGAAAAACATGCTAACATATCGAGCTAACTAGGCATGCAAACAAGACACAAGGAGGGAAGGCTAACCCCTCCAAATTTGGGCTTCAAAATTAGTTTTTTGCCACTGAAAAACCTCTGAAATTCAGTGGTTAAAAGGCCCAAAAAAGTTGGTTTGAAAGTTGTGAACAAAGGTACAAAAGCTTTACAAACAAAGAAGTAAGAAGGGTGAACCATCCCCTAACTGAAAATAGCCTCAAACCACCACCTTTAGGCCATAAAACAGAGTTTTTTACAGTTCAAAATTAGCCCAAAAATAGTTGGAAAAAGATGGAAAAACGAGTATGCAAAACAAGTTTAAAAAGCAAGTATTATACCTCTTGAAGGGAAGACACAAATGAAGCAATAAAACAAGCCAAGACCACCTTCTAGAGCTCAAAGAGGGTCCCAAGTAACCTCAACCCAAAAATAAGCAACTTTGGTTAAGGGTTGATAAGCAAACTTGAAGTGTATCTACACTTGTATGCACAAAAATTCAAGAGAAAGAGAGAAATGTAAAGAGAGAGACAGAGAAAGAGAGAGAGTAAGAGAGAGAGAGAGAGAGAGAGAGAGAGAGAAATTTGTTCCAAAATTTCTAACCTTCTAAAATGTTTCCCAACCTTCAAAACAAGAGGAGAGGTCCTCTATATATAAGAAAACAAGAGCCTCAGTAGAAATATCAACAAAACAAACAGCTGGAGCTTTTGGGAGACAGCTGGCACAAAATATCTACAAAATCTGAGTTTTTTACACCAGTGGCCGGCAGGCCATCATTTGTGGCCTGCCACAAAAATCTATTTTTTGGCCCGATTTCAAACAGGCATATCTCCCTCTCCTAGACTTCGTTTCAGGTCATTATTGAGTCTAAATTCAAGTCCTGGAAGTTTACTTTCCAATGGTGACAGCTTCACATCAAAATTCCAAGTGTGCAAAAAGATATGCCTATTTTAGTGAAGACTACTCAGTTTTGGTCCTAACCAGATTGATGCCTAACTTCTCCTCAACTTGTTTTCTTCCTTTCCCTCCTATTTTCTTCAACTCCAAACCTCTAAATAAGGTGTTTTGAAAGATTTTTCAAAGAGTACACCTCTCTTTCATTTATTTTCACTTTGTCCTTGCTCAATTTACCGAAAATTGCAATTTTTAACGAAATGCGAGCCTCGGAACATCGTAGAAACATTTTCAAAAATATTTTGACAGAGAGGGTTTTAAGGTCTAAAATAATTTTTGTCAAAATAGTTTTGGTCCAAAATGGGGTGTAAGGTTGGGATTTAAAGCTCCTCTTGCTGAAGAAATTAAGCAATTGCACACATAGCCGTCTTCCTCGAGTAATCAACCTGAGGCACCCAAGTCTTAAGGGCGGTCAAAAATAGGGTATCTATAGTTGC